TGAAGGTGATGACGTAGTTCAGATCTTCACGTCCTTCAGTTCGAGGTATGTATAGTATGTCGCTGTAGACTTTCTCGAGTGGTTGATAAACGGGGGCGCTCGGATTGTGGTGTGACGGGAACGGTTGGTGAGGCAGATCTGCTTCCGGGCAGATGAAGCAGGTGCCGCGTGGTCGTTCGAGTTCACGTCCGTTGGGAAGAAGTAGGGCGTTCTTGTCTAACACTCCGGCTCGTATTGTATTGTAAAGTGTTTTGTTTCCAGGATGTCCAAGACGTTGATGCCAGATGTCTTCGGAGGCGCTGTGACCGACGGAGCGTTGATAGAAGTCTGCGTTAGCGAAAAAGGCGGCGTGTGTTGCTGCACTTCGATGAACGGCGCGTGGTGCTGGCGTCAACTGTTGGGCGGCCGTCGGTGGCGTGTCGATGATGAGAGGTGGTGGTGCGACGGAGGGACCGGGCTGTGGAGTTTCGGAAGGTTGTTCCGTGACGACGGTTGGTTCTTCAACTGCAGGTTCGGTGGTTGTTGGTGTTGTGACGGGTGCAGTTGTTGTTGTCAGAATATTATTCTTATGTTCTAGCCTGTAGTGGGGTGCTCTATAGCGAGTACAACCCTTCTAGGGTTTGCTATTTGTATCCCCATTTCTGCTAGTTCATTCCTCTTTCTTTCTTCTAACTTTTGACATGCTATCAGAGCAGGTCGATCCCCCTGGATCGATCCTGTGGGTGGGCTTACCACCGCTTAGCTTCCGCTGCTACTACTGCTACTACTCTCTGAGCCGCACGCCCCGTGGCGTGCGGCATTTTTTCATCCCGCCGTGCGCCCCGAGGCGCGCGGCGGTTTTCTGCCCGCCGTGCGCCCCGAGGCGCGCGGCGGTTCATTGCCCGCTGTGCGCCCCGGGGCGCGCGGCGGGCTTCTCCCCTACGTCGCGGCCCCGCCCCGATCGTCGCGGCCCCGCCCCTCGACGCGGCCCCGCTCTACGTCGCGGCCCCGCCCCGGCCCGTCGCCGCCCGTGCGCCCGCAAGCGGCCCCCTCGGGTCGCCTCGACGGACGACGGGAGGGGCGAGCTGTGGGGTGGCGGGTATGGGGGTGGCCGGTGTGCCTTCCTCCCTTTCTCCTCCTCCTCCTTCGTCTCCCACTGCTGCAGCTGTCGCTGAGGGGGGTGGTTGTGTGGGAGACTGGGTTTAGGGTTTAAGGGGGGTGCGTGGGAGTGGAGCTAGCGGTGTAGCAGTGGGTGTGTATGAGGGGGGTGGGACTGTGTGTGGGAGGTTGAGCGGAGGTTGCCAGTTTGTCGTCCGCAGCACCTGTAGTCCGGGGCGCTGTCCCGGTAGCCCAGTGAGCTTGTCGCTGAGCCGGTCGCCTGTGGGTCCGTTGCCCGTCTGCCGCTACTTGAGCCGCGGGGCCTGTTACTCCCGTAGTCCGGGGCGCTGTCCCGGTAGCCACTGTGCTCGCCACTCCTGTTGCCCGTGTGTCTGCAGCTTCAGCCGCCGCCTTCTATCTCCTCTCCTCTCACTCTCCCTCCTCCTCCTCACTTGCCCGTTGTGACCACTGCTAGCTTTGCTCATAATTGTTAACTTTGAACTATTTCTTCTTGACCTTGTGCTCAGAATGCGTGGTGACATTGTGATCCACCCTGAGCTTGTACTGTTTTGCCTGCTCTGCTGATTACACCCCACTTTGGCTATGGGGGTGTGTCAGAATATTATTCTTATGTTCTAGCCTGTAGTGGGGTGCTCTATAGCGAGTACAACCCTTCTAGGGTTTGCTATTTGTATCCCCATTTCTGCTAGTTCATTCCTCTTTCTTTCTTCTAACTTTTGACAGTTGTTTCGATGACGGGTGCTGACTTAGGTGTTGTTGCTTGTGTTTGCAGGACGGCAAGCGCGTTGGTGCGTTCAGCTTCGGGAATGGTACGAGAGTACCAGAAGCCTTCAGGACTGAAGTTCGGGTCGAGGTCTGGCGGATGCGTCCAGGGTGCGAGAGCGACTATGCCGTCCCTGTCTGCGGTGCCTTTGTCGGGGACGAAATCGAGGACGAACACGTCATCTTGTTGGATTGCGCGGCCGATGAAGACCCCCTCTTTTCCGTGGTAAAGACGGATTTCCAGGGCGTCGGAGTCACACTCCAGGTGAACGCCTTTCGACATGAGTTGGCTGACGCTCAGTAAGTTGAAGCCGAGGTTGTCGACGACGAGTACTTTGTTTAGTTGAAGGATAACGTTTGTTTCGTTTGACTGAAGCTCCACGACTCCTTGTTTGTTGGTGCGCAGGTTTTCGTTGTTGGCGATGGTGATGATGACGTCTCGCGGAAGACGTCGTTCGCGCTGAAGAAATCGTGATGAAGAGCACATGTGATGACCACAACAGCTGTCGAGGAACCATGTGTCTGGTCCGGTGGGTGCACTGTTCGCGATGGCGGCGTACGTTGGATTCACGTTAAGGGACGACGGTGGTGGTGACGGTTGCTCATCAGGACTGTAAGTCGGTGGAGAGCCGGTAATGCACGAGTCGATGTTTGACTCTGTTGTTCGTGCCATGGCGACGATTCTTGGTGTCTGTGCAGGTCCCGAAGTGGAAGTTGACGGTCGCGTTGAAGTAGTCGTTGAGGCGGTAGCGGGTCGTTGTTGAGTTGACGCGATGTGGGGAGGCACTGGTCGCAGAGGACGAGAGAATGGTGCTGGTTGTCGTTGTTGCTGAGGGCAGTTGAAGCGTGTGTGTCCTGAAGTCCGACAAAGATGACAATAAGGAGGTACGTGTCCTCGATTTTGGTAGCGTGACTGTCGTCGATTGGTGTAAAGAACGACTGGTTGATGATGCCTTTTGTTGTTGCGTTCTTCGAACAGGTCCATTTCCTGCTGCTCGGCGTGAAGTTCGGCGCAGAGATGCATTTCGGAGAGTCGACCGTGAGCGCGAAGAAGTGAGCGGGTGGTGCGCCACTGAGGTCCAAGACCGGCAAGAACGACGGTTACGAAAGCTTCTTCAGATAAGTTTCCTCCGCAGCGAATGAGTCTGTCGCGTAGTCCTTGACAGCGACTGATGTAAGGCATGGCCTTTTCTCCAGGTTGCATTTGAACTGTTGTCAGTTGTGCCATGAGTCGGCTTTGCGTAACGCTGTCGGATGCTTGATGAATACTTCGCAGATGTTGATAAGCGAGTTCCGCGGAGTTTGCGTAGTTCCGGTAGGCGCGGATGCTTTGTTGTTCGTTCGGCGACAGGTTTCGGAGAAGAACGGTGTAAGCCATGAGGGAGTGATACGTATAATTTTCTTTGTCCTTGTCTTCGCCGTTGTGTGGATATGGCCAGGTACCGTTGAAGAAGCCAAGAAGATTCGCGCCTTCCATCAGGAGTTCAAACTCGAAGCTCCAAGAGTAGAAGTCCTTCCCGTTGAATGGTGTGGATGTGTGCAGTCGTAGGATGTTGTTGAACTGTGCTTGTACTTGCAGGACTTCTTCGGTGTCTCGTTTGATGGCGGGAAGAGGAGTCGCTGGATGGCGGGGCGGAATGAACGTGAAGGAACCAGGTGAGACCGAATTTGGTGTTTGTTGATTATGTCGTCCGAACGATGAGTTGTCAATACTCATTGGTGCCACTCCGTTGTTTATGCTGTTGCTGTTTGCAGGTTGCGAGGACTGCTGCTGCGACATGAAGTTGAAGAACTCCTCCATTAAGCTTGGGTTGAAGATTGTTGGCGGCGCTACTGGTGCTTGAGAAGAGCGTTCCGTCGCTTCCGGCGTTAATCCGGGCGTTGTTCCTCCTTCGGTCTGCAACTCGGAGACCGGGGGTAGAGTAGATCCCGTAGATGATCTTCTTTCTTTGCCACTTGCCATGTCTTGCCTTTCTTGAGTGAAGGTTGAACTTCTTGGTCTTTTGCAGATTGGTAGCCTGGAAGAGGCTTAGTGACGAGAGCCTTTGTTCTCTGACTGCTCTCATACCATGTTGGGCTGAGAATTTCAGCCTTAGGATCTTTGCAGAGAATAGGCTAGTAGGTGCTAGAGTAGCACAGCGGAAGTCTTGAGTGAATGTTCTTGTGCTGGTATGTGAGAACAAGTAATTGATTAAAGCAAAGGGCATACAGGAATATATAGAAAGGATAGATTACAAGAAGCGGTTATGTTTATCGAGACGCGTAACGCTTCGACTATCGAGGTGGTTACTGTTCACTGAAGCGTCGCTTGCTGTTACGTAACCTCCAGGCGGTTACAGCTCGCAACCTCCAGTTGCGGTTTGATGTGGTACGCGCCTTTTCGACTTCGTACTCCTTTTGTTGTGCTTCAGTATCGGGTGAGGTTCGATACTACAGAAACGCACTAAGTCATGCGTTTATTTTCCCAACACAAACCTTACAGGTTAGGGTTCTCTTTTGTTGCAACATACTTCTTGAATCTAACATGGTTCAAGATTTAAGGAGGTTCTAAGACAACTATAGCTTCCAATCCGACCATTCTGACAAGGCCGGTGGTTGGTGTCGCAGTTTTCTGAATGGGCACCAATGGAAATACTCATTCATGGTAATGCAATTTATTGTGGTCTTTGCACAACACACAGACGCTGAAAGTGCCATGACTTACGCAGCAGTTGGGTGAGGCTGTGCCGTGAAGCTTTTATCCAAGCGAGATTCGACAGCAGTGCCACGCACATGTTCAGCACCTTTTCAAAGCTTGAATGGCGATGCTGGTGAGGCAAAGCCTTCACAACCACCTATGGCAGAAGCAACGTTGTGACTACAGCAAAGAATTACACCACCAGAGATGTTGGGACAAGCCAAGCATAGTGAATGCAAAGCAGAAGCTAGTGTTATTGCTGAAGGCTAGAACGCTTCAAAGAATTTCCTCATTATGTAACTAGTTAAAATGGGAAAGAAACTACGAGGATACCAACGCAGGTACACAACCAAAAGTGAGTTCGGTTTGAAATGACATGATGAGTGTTTCAAGCGCAACACTGGATTCGAGGGGAGCATGTGTGCGAGTGGTGGCGGTGGTGAGCACATCAACCAGAAACGCTTCACATGGCAGCACGGGCAGCAGAGGCAGAAGAGGCACTCGGCAGCAGTGGGGTGGGTTGCAGCCACACCGTTAGAAACGCCCTGAGCCGTCCCCTCACATGAGCCAACGCGCTTGGATCAGAGCAGGAGGATTTGGCGCCTGGAATGGAGCAGGGACAGAGGACGGGAGCAAGAGAGCATGAGCACGGAGAGGGTAAGGCAGCGGCACTGAGGATGTACGGAGTTGCTCGGCGGAGTGGGGGGCGCAGGGTGGGTTCGGGCTTGCATGCACGGAACACAAGGTGGTGGGCGGTGGAGAGAAAGGTTCGTGATGGGGTCAGGTAGAGAGAGAAGGATAGAGAGTGAGAGCAAGCAGAGAGCAGAAAATTAGAGGAGAGGGAGGAGAGGAGTGGCAGGGGCAGAAAGGAGCACCGTGGGCGTGGTGGTCGTTGAGCCAGGTGGGGCAGCCACGCATGTCCACCCCGTGGCCGCAGTTGTGACACTCCACCACCGTGCTCGGCACTGCCATGGGGAGATGCAGAGGGCAAGGCGCAGGGCATGGCGTGGGGCATGAGGCAGGGAAGTGGAGCATGGCGCATGGGGTATGGGACATGGAGTGTGTGGCATGGGGCGTGGGGCATGTTGCATGTGGTATGGGGTATGGGGTATGGGGCATGTTTGGGTGGAGAACTGGTTTGCAAAATTAGGAGAGAAAGAGCGCTGCTAGTGAAGGCATGAGGAGAACCAACGTAACAAGTTCAGTACTGGCAGCGGCTTTAAGGAGTGACTCACTGGCAGCGGTGGCAACAAGTCGCGAGGCGCGCTTCCAAGGGTCCTGCGACCCGTTGGTGAAGTAGATGCGCGACGCTGAGCACGGGGGAGGGGGGAGGGGGTAGGGGGTAGCAGGGGAGGAAGAAGGCCGGAGGAGGGAGGGGGGGGGAAGGGGTGAGGAAGGGCATGAACAAGCCGAGGCACGAAAAGGTGATGCTGAGGGATGAGATGCATAGAAACATGAGTGACGTGCAAAGCACAAGAAATTCAGCAAGTGAAGGAAAGTAAGAAGCAGCAGCATGAGGTGAGAGTGGTTGTGACTGACAGGCGATGGAGGTGGCGCCAAAGAAAGTGTTGGTGGCGTCCACATCAGGGAAGAGCGCCCGTGGGTGGTCCCCGTACACTGCCGCGCACAGGCCCTGCCAGTAGCTGCAGTGCCGTGCGCGGAGGCAGGGGAGGAGACACAATGCTGTGAGCACACTGCCCAGGGAAAGACTGAAAGAGATTCAAAGAAAGAAAGGAACTTGTGAGGGAGAAAGGGAGGGTAAAGTGATGGCACCAAGAGCACACGAGGCAGCATCAACCATGTTGGAGCACCAACCATGTTGGCAGCACCAACCATGTTGGCAGCACCAACCATGTTGGCAGCACCAACCATGTTGGCAGCATCAACCATGTTGGCAGCACCAACCATGTCGGCAGCATCAACCATGTTGGCAGCATCAACCATGTTGGCAGCACCAACCATGTTGGCAGCACCAACCATGTTGGCAGCACCAACCATGTTGGCAGCACCAACCATGTTGGCAGCACCAACCATGTTGGCAGCACCAAACATGTTGGCAGCACCAACCATGTTGGCAGCACCAACCATGTTGGCAGCACCAACCATGTTGGCAGCACCAACCATGTTGGCAGCACCAACCATGTTGGCAGCACCAACCATGTTGGCAGCACCAACCATGTTGGCAGCACCAACCATGTTGGCAGCACCAACCATGTTGGCAGCACCAACCATGTTGGCAGCACCAACCATGTTGGCAGCACCAACCATGTTGGCAGCATCAACCATGTTGGCAGCATCAACCATGTTGGCAGCACCAACCATGTTGGCAGCACCAACCATGTTGGCAGCATCAACCATGTTGGCAGCATCAACCATGTTGGCAGCATCAACCATGTTGGCAGCACCAACCATGTTGGCAGCACCAACCATGTTGGCAGCATCAACCATGTTGGCAGCACCAACCATGTTGGGAGCATCAACCATGTTGGCAGCATCAACCATGTTGGCAGCATCAACCATGTTGGCAGCACCAACCATATTGGCAGCATCAACCATGTTGGCAGCACCAACCATGTTGGCAGCACCAACCATGTTGGCAGCACCAGCCATGTTGGCAGCACCAACCATCCCACAACTTCACCACCGCACCTCCCATTCACCACCGCACCTCCCATTCACCACCGCACCTCCCATTCACCACCGCACCTCCCATTCACCACCGCACCTCCCATTCACCACCGCACCTCCCATTCACCACCGCACCTCCCATTCACCACCGCACCTCCCATTCACCACCGCACCTCCCATTCACCACCGCACCTCCCATTCACCACCGCACCTCCCATTCACCACCGCACCTCCCATTCACCACTGCACCTCCCATTCACCACCGCACCTCCCATTCACCACCGCACCTCCCATTCACCACCGCACCTCCCATTCACCACCGCACCTCCCATTCACCACCGCACCTCCCATTCACCACCGCACCTCCCATTCACCACCGCACCTCCCATTCACCACCGCACCTCCCATTCACCACTGCACCTCCCATTCACCACCGCACCTCCCATTCACCACCGGCACCTCCCATTCACCACCGCACCTCTTGTTCACCATCACACCTCATGTTCAAAGCATTGGATCGAATGCGAGGGCCGAGGCGGGCGGGTGTCTGGAAGAAGGCCATTTGCGAGCAGCACTGGTACAGCCACGTGCGCATGTCTGCAGGATGCAAGGCAAGGGTTCCATTGGATTTTTCTAAACAACTATTGCCTTTCGCACGAGGCATCCACCACATCATGCTGCTCTTCTTCGTGCCCAGAATTGATCACTTCTTCATCATGCTTGCGAGCAGCACTGGTATAGCCACGCATGCATGCCCGCCGGATGGTGCCATGGGGGATGGTGCCATGGGGGATGGTGCCATGACAGATGGCGACGCACAGGAAAGTGACATTAGAAAACAATCAATGGAAAATGAGCCTTGGGAAGGTGCTGGGAGCATTGGCCATACCACGCACAGGCACTGTGTTGTGGAGCCGTGAAAGAAGCAGGACCGTCAACACGGTGGAAGGAGAAGAGTGAATAAGCACATCACAAACAGTTTGCAGCAAAGCGAAAGAATCAAGCCTCCTGGATAACAGAAAATAAAGGCCCACTTCTTCTTATCCCCCATGCGTAGGCTCACCTCCACTATGTAATCCCATGGCAACACAGGCAGCAGGACGCAGGCTGCCATGACTGGAGAGGAAAGGCATGCAAAGCAGCACAAGTGGGAGAGGCAGCAGCATGGGGAGCGGACTGACTGGCAGAGGGAGCTGCGAGCGACGTGTTGGCGAGCGCATGGCGGTCGTAATCAGAAGGGGCCGATCCGAAGTGAGCGAAGAAAAGGTCTCGCACGTAGGCCGCAAAGGCCTCCTGATGGCATGGGCGCAATGGGTGGAGGGAGGGGGAGGGAGGACAGGGGTGTGTGCATGGAGGAAAAAATCTCTGGTGGGACACAAGCAGTCGTCATACACCTATCCGCTCGTGTGAAGTTCTTCATTCGGGCCTACCATGGCATCACATCCCAGCATACCATGGCATCACATCCCAGCATACCATGGTATCAGAGCCCGTGACATGAGAGTGGATGAGGGGGTCACACAGCTGGTCCGGGCGGCCATACTGAAACTGAAGAGAGAGGCGCCAGTGTGAGGGGTGGAATGATGACAAGGAGCGATTGGATGGAAATACACAAGGGGCGAATCAGGGAGCGAAGGGAGAAAGAAGGTAATGCGGTGATAGATTTGGTGGAGTAAAGTGAGTGCAGGAGCGAGGTGGAGAAAGAGCAGGAACGTGGATAACGAGATGAGAAGGCCAGAAGCAGATCACATACAAAGCACGTCATGTGGTACACAAATTATAACAGGTATATAAGTGCATCTCGCATGCAGTAGCATGCAGCTAGGCTTGCTGGTGTGGCTGCACATGTGGCGTACCGCAAAGACAGCAGCGTCTGCGAGGAGGAAGAGGAAGTCCCCATCGTGCTCCACCTGGCAGCACGCACATGGGAGAGGGCGGGCAGGGCGCACATGGGAGAGGGCGGGCAGGGCGCACATGGGAGAGGGGGCAGGGCACATGAGAGGGCGGGCAGGGCGCACATGGGAGAGGGCGGGCAGGGCGCACATGGGAGAGGGCGGGCAGGGCGCACATGGGAGAGGGCGGGCAGGGCGCACATGGGAGAGGGCGGGCAGGGCGCACATGGGAGAGGGCGGGCAGGGCGCACATGGGAGAGGGCGGGCAGGGCGCACATGGGAGAGGGCGGGCAGGGCGCACATGGAGAGGGTGGGCAGGGCGCACATGGAGAGGGTGGGCATACAGAGAGTTAACATGGGGAGAGGCGTGGAGGGTGCAGTGATACCCTGAGAGACAGGCTTGCAGGCGAGGAGGACGAGAGGCAAGGGAACAGAGTGCAAAGAGTGTGCAGTACAATGTATGCTAGCCATCTCTCCTGATCCAACAAAAACTCACATCAAAAGGCACACGTGCAAAGGAAAAACATGTCGAGAGTGGGATTTGAACCCACGCCCTTTCGGACTGGAACCTTAATCCAGCGCCTTAGACCAACTCGGCCATCTCGACGTTCCAATCGAATCTGGTAAATATTTTATCCATTTCGGAAGGACAAACAGCAGTGACAGAGAGCATAGAGGAATAGAATGGAAGTTGAAACTTGGAAGCAATCTGAGACAGCACATAGAGAGTGGCACGAGAGTGCAGAGGGAGTACGTGCAGAGGGAGTACGCACAGAGGCGGCAGCAAAGAGGTGCTTGACAGCCTGGCGGTCGCCCGGTGACGAGGCGAGTTGCTGCTCCACACGGCGGGTGATGTTGGCGAGGATGGCGGCACACTGGGGGCCCGCTGACTGCACCACCTGGTCGCCGGGGAGAGGGCGCACGGGCAGGGGGTCGGGAAGGGGGTGAAGGGTGAAAGCGAAGTACGTCAGAAGGTGGAATTTGCATATCTGTTGATTGCTAATAGATCTTTTCAGGTTCCATGCAACGGGAACACATCCAGCACACAAGAAACGCTCAGCCAGCCTGTCATGACAGCATGGGGAATGGCTGGATGGCACACAAGGGATCGACATGCACATGCTTGCAACAACATCCCCTTACTCCAATTTCCAGGCCGCATAGAAGATGTCACCTTGGAAGTTCAGACTGAGAACCTCCTGTTCGCCTTGGCACTCCTTGTGAACACCATCGCCCCTCCTGCAGTCTGTAGTTCGTCCTACAGCATACATCTGCATTATCGCTGCAACTCTCCACGGCATGACAATAACCGCAGCCCCTCAGCATTGAAACAACTCCCCTCACCCAGAACGGCAGTGATACCCACCCTCATCCGCCCCTCACCCGCCCCTCATCCGCCCCTCATCCGCCCCTCACAAGCCCCTCACCTGCGCCTCAAACTCATGGAAGTCCTGAATGACGTTGATGACGGCGGACGAGGCAAGGCTGGCGCGGAAGAGGTGTGGGTAGGACAGGCGCGCCCACGCGCTCAGAGCGCCCGCGTACGACACGCCCGTCACCACCCACTGCCGCTCGGAGGCCCCATTGCTGCCGCCACGCGTCGTGCTGCTGTGAGACCCGTTGCTGTGAGACCCGTTGCTGTGAGACCCGTTGCTGTGAGACCCGTTGCTGTGAGACCCGTTGCTGTGAGACCCGTTGCTGTGAGACCCGTTGAACAGCTGGTCCAGCCGTTGCTGCGGTCACACAAGACATATAGGTACTGTGGTTTTCCCAGAATCTCAAAACTCGCTCACAAGGGCAGCAAGAAAGACAGAACAACCAGTTTGAGGGGGGAAGACACGAGCAACTAAAAGCAAGTGGTAAGAGGTAATCACAGGTGTCCCCCTCGCAGGGGTCTCTCCCTTAACCTAGCTCGCAGCCTCAGCGCACCTGGTAGAACTGCCGGAACGTGGCCAGGTCAGCCAGTGCCTGGTTGGCCGAGAGATATGCCAGGTTGGCAGTGGACAGGTCAGCGAAGGGCTGCGATTGGCCGTAGAAGCGATGCTCCAACGCCACCACGGCCGCCCCAAAGTGAGCGGCGAGCTCCTGCGAGGTGAGATGAGAGGCGGGTGAGATGGTACGTGCATGACAGATGGAGGGGGGTAACACCCTGGGGCTGGGTTGACAGGGCGAGAGAGAGCAACAGAAGGCTGAAAGGAAGTGAGGGAATAAGAGACGCAGCAGAAGGAGGAATGAGTGCGCTGTGGCAGGGAGCGGGAGGGAGGGCGAGGGAGAGCGGGAGGGAGAGCGGAGGGAGAGCGGGGCACCATGCGGTAGTCGGAGGGGACGCCGTTGCAGGGCGCCTCGCCGCAGATGACGAGCATCACGGGGCCGCCCGCTGCGGCGTTGAAGTGCGTCAAGTCCTCGTGGTACCGCTGCCGGAAGGTGCGCCCGTCCTGCAACGTGGCATGCAGAAGCAAGCACATCCACCCATCATTTGAGTTGGCATGGTAGGCGATAAGAGATAGTATGGCATATACGACTAACTCCTTTGCTCTAGCAACCCTCCTTCAGCTTCTGCCTGCCGGTACGTACGGCGGGATTGAAGTGGTCCAGCGTCTGCTCCAACCACAGCTCGCCACGTCCGCTCGCTCCCGCTGCGCCTCGCTGCTTTGTGGCTTCCGCATCGCTCGCAGCGAGCCCCTGCCGCGGCGTGGCTGCTGCGGCGAGTCGCGCCTCGTGCGCGAGGTAGAGACGGTCGGACGCGGCGGCTGCGACGGCTGGGAGATTAATGGCGAGAAGAGCCGCGAGGGAGAGCAGGAGAGGATGACGCAACGCGCGCCTAACGCGAGAGGTGAACATTGGAGGAGGATTGGGAGCCATGGCGGGCAGATCTGGAGAGTGGAGGCAAGAACGGATGGCGTGTGACATGCGGGGCACGGAATTTGAATTTGTCATGCATGTATGCGCGCTTGAATGTCGTTCGGTATTGGTAATGTGTTGATCCTGGAGGTACTTCCATGTTCACCGCCTGATTAAAAAAACAAATGAGTTAAATCCATTCTGAATATTTTCTGTTGCTCCACCAGCTCCAAAAGGTCTCATCAATTCAAGGGCCCACAACCCCTCCTCCGATATCTACCTTCAATCTGTGGACCTTGAGTCCCTTTGTCAGTTTTAGCATTTCACAAGGCGCTATTTCGAACAACCTTGGCACTTGAGGGATAACCCACGCAGCAAACGTGTTGCAATTGAGGCAAGATTTCATACATGCGATGGGACCATGTCAGCCTGGCTTGGGTGGAGTATCCACATTGGTTCATCCTGGTGAGCCAATCTAGTCCAGCCCCTAACCTGCACCAAATCATGTATAGCTTGGTCCCACCAAGTGCCGTGCCCCTGCACTTTGTTTTGAAGTGGGCCAGCAAGGGGTCACCCCACAGGTGACTCACCAGGACCATGCCGTGTATAAATGACTGGGTTGGATCTGCACTTATGGCACAGCCATAGCCTCATCGCCGGTGAGCTGCATCACCATCACAGGAGCGTCATCTCAAGGCCCACGACCCCAGCACGTCTCTCAGTGCGCCCCCATCCCCTTGCACCGTGCTCCACCGGTTCTCCAGCGTGGCGCAGTGCATGCGCTCGCGGTACAGAAACGGCTTCACCGCTGCATTCTGCTGCGCCACTTGCCTCGCCAGCCCCGCCACCCGGATGGCATACGCCAGCGCCATGCCCACGTCCGCCTTGGCACACTGCTTACTGCTGCCGCCGCCCGCCATGCTGGCGAGGCAGCGGCGGAGGCGACGGCGTGTGGGGGAGTGGAGGTTGAGGAGGTTGATGGCGTCGGCATCGTTGACGGAGTTGACGAGCAGCAGCGGCGTCATGGCGTAGCGCAACCCATGCTCAGGGAAGAAGCACCGCCACCGCCCGTCAGGGCCCTCCCCTGCACACAGGCAGGTGGAGAGTGGGTGGGGGCAGGAGGGGTTGATAAAACGAGTGGGGGGCACATGGTCGCCAGCTTGACGACAGCACACCGTTACCATGGCAGGGCATGCAAGGGGCGGCAGGGCATGCAAGGGGCGGCAGCCAGGTTACCTCTAAGGCAGTCGGGGTCAGCGGACATGTTGTGGATGGCCACGAGGCGCTGCGCCACCTTGCGCATGAAGAACGTGCCACTCACATCCCGCATGTCTGTGAGTGGGAGAGGGGGGGGAGGGGGGGGGGGATGTTGCCAGCCAGCCCGTGGGGAAAAATTTGTGGTGAGTGAGTGCACGTCATATGTCGTCACTTCTGCCCTCCTAACTACTCCCCTATTTCGTAGAAGCCGTGGCGCACTCTGGACGCACAACTTCTTTTTCTGCACCCCCTCCCCCATCCCCTCCCCCTAGACCCTGCATGCAGGGCGGGCAGGGCGAGCAGCTGGGCGCACCGGGGAAGAAGCCGCCGTCCATGATGCAGCGCTTGGCGGCCGCCGTGGGCAGCAGGCGGGCGAGCGCGTCGCACTGCATGGCCACCGCCTGCGCGCCCGCCGAGCACCCCGCCACCACCACCCGCTGCGCGCCCTGCATCCCCCGCGCCACCCGCATGTCTGCTCCGAGGGGGAGAAAGGTGTGGGGGGGGAGGGGAAGGAGAATTGGAAAAAAAGGGCGAGCAGGTGGTGATGAGGAATGAGTGAGTGGAAGGGGTGGTGGTGAGTCTGGGGCGAGAGGCGCACTCGCGGCGGCAGTGTGGGGCGAGAGGCGCACTCACGGCGGCAGTGTGGGGCGAGAGGCGCACTCACGGCGGCAGTGTGGGGCGAGAGGCGCACTCGCGGCGGCAGTGTGGGGCGAGAGGCGCACTCACGGCGGCAGTGTGGGGCGAGAGGCGCACTCACGGCGGCAGTGTGGGGCGAGAGGCGCACTCACGGCGGATGACGGACTTGAGGATGCTTCTGCCGCCCGCCACGAGCGACGAGGAGCGCGTGGCGTTGAAGCGGCCGCGCGTGCCGGAGAAGGCGGCGCCGTCGCAGTAAGCGATGAGCACGACGTGCCAGTTGAAGAAGCGCGGGTTGACGGCGGCGCTGCCGTGCAGCATGCCGTCCATGCCGTACCCCGTCAGCCGCTTCAACTGCCGCGGGCGCAGGGTAGGGGGGCACACGGTGGATGGGCGGACAAGGGGATGGCTGTCACTCCCATTGGTCTCGCGCTGGGGACCGGAGAGAGGCACAGCGATACAACGACTCAGCGACGCTTTCCTTCACGGGGCCAGTGGTGGTGTGGGGAGAATGGTGTACGGAGGCAGCTGCGCGTGTGACGGCAACGGCAGTGCGAGCGGCGAACCTGGGTGTTGAAGTCGGGGTGCGACGGGTGCGGCCACAGCGAGGAGCTCCCCAGCAGCGTGTTCGCGCGCCTGCGACACGAGCGCACCGAATAGCACCACGCGCCGCCCTAGGAAGGGGGACGAGGGGGAACCGGGAAAGAGTTGGTGTGGGTGGCAGTGGTGAGCGAGGGGCAGGAAGAGATGAGGGACGGGAAAAGAGGACGAGAGGGATGGGTGGCAGGCGAGGCATGGCAGCGCTGGGGCAACGGTAATGGTGGGACCGAAGCATGCTGGTTTTGAGTGATTCGCGTCAATCAACTCCCTGCCGTGCTCGCTTGTGCCACTGCACTCGCTCCTGCCTCTCCATGCCTCATTCTTCCTCAACACTCCCCGCCGCAGCGTGCCACATGCGCGTATGCCCGTACGACCGAATCCCCCCACCCGTCCCTTCTCCCGTCCGCATGCCCCGCGCCTCCACCATTCCCCAGCCAAACCCCCCCGTCCCCGCAGTCCCCACGCGCGCCGCTCACCGGCAGGAAGATGAGCCAGTTGCGCTGCCCCGTGCCGTGGCCCCGCCGGTAGTAGTACCCTGGCGGGCTGCCGGCCCGCACGCGGACGACGGGTGGGAGGCAAGCAACGGGGGAAGGGGGGGAGGGCAAGGAGGAGGGTAAAGGCTAATCATGGTATGCAGTGACGGGCATTGGCTGAGAGGAGCGCAACAAGGGATCGCGGCGAGGTGTGGGTGCTCGCAGGTTGCAAAAAGACCAACGCGTTCTTTCGCCCTTCGCTATCGTTCCCAGAGTCTCTCCCTTCCCCTCTCCCACGTCCCTCGCCACCCCCGTTCCTCATTCCCCCCCGCTCTCGTAGCGGCGGAGCGGGGCGAGCAGGGCGCGATCGACCACGCAGGCGCACAAGGCGGACATGCGCTCCGCCGCGCCTACCCGTCCAACGCTCCACATGCACCACAGCCGAGCCCTTCAAACCGAGGCTAACAGCTGAGCCTACGATCTGCCCTACCTGCCGTCGAGGCACCGCGCGCCCGCCGACACTTTCCTCAGCAGCGAGAACGATACTCTTGCGCGCCTCGCGCCAGGCTGCACTAGGGAAGGCGCGACCGGGGAAGACGGGAGCTGAACGTTGTCGACCTGCGCGAGTGCCGATATGACTGGCGTGGGGGAAGGGCAGAGCGCGCAGGCGCAGGCGCACAGCAGCTGCAGGAACCCGAACGGCAGAGGCGCGCGACCTGGCCGCCTCTCGCGGCGCAAGGCACGCGCTATGGGGCCCGATAATCTGCTGCGACGCGGCATTGCGACGAGGCGCGTGGGCACTTTACGACCTTCCGCACGTGCGTGAAAGATGACGAGATGGGATCACGTGGAATGAACGGATTGTAACACTACTTGTGAATGGTTTTGGCGGGCCCAGCTTTGAGCCATCCAGCTGGCAAGGTTGAAAACGGAGAGGCAATGGACGGTGGAGGAAGAGGAGGAAGAAGCTGTTGGGGACTCGGGAATTGGGACAGGGGAGACGAGGCAGCTGGGTAGGGGGCGCCTAGCGGAAAAGCTCCTCCCCCAAAGCTCGGGAAAAACATGCGCTTCGTTCGCCGGCGTGGGATTGCAAGAGAGGATGCTTGCTTTGAGAAAGCTTACCGCGTCGCGTGTGATTATGTCGCAATTCAATACGTTAGCTATTTTCGCGTCTTGTCCGCCAGTATGAATACTGGTCGGTGTAGTTCGCCCATTGAAAGAGTGCACGAAGTCAATAACTACAATTGATAAACACATGACAATTAAGTGAAGCATAGCAAAAATACCGTCTCCCGCCGGATAAAAGCGCCCCTGGGGTTATGATAAAGCGCCTTTTAGAGGTGGCGTTTATAATCAAATATTTCTACAAGCGCCAAAGTCAATACAATGGCAAAATGGAAACGTGCCTTCTCATATGGAAGTGAAGCATTATTAAAGGCATATCTCATCCATTCAAGAACCATCGATAACGTGCATGAAAATCGTGAGACGTGGTCAACAATGTTACGATCAGAAATCGATCGTGCCAAGATCACCTCACATCAGAGTGAATATAACTGAAGTGATTATAACAAAAACAAGCTTATAATTATATAGTAAAACAAGAGAAACACGAAATGTCCTAATTAGCCATGTACTCGAAGGGGTACATTCACTTATTGCAGCGAATTTCAACCGTACGGTGCCAGAACCACTTTAGACAGCTTTCCGCCGAATCCTTCGTGCTGCAGCTGCTTGATGCTTCTGCTCCCAACGGTACAGAAGCTCCCAACCGTACGCAATGTTTCATGTAGTTCTGACCCTTCAAATTCGTACTCGCTACTGCATAATGCACAATATTTCTCATTTCACTTATCGTAACAAACGAGGCATCGAACCACGCCTTGTTTGACATGCCAGGTTCATTGAACATGATCAAGATCCATACCAATGCACACGCGGCTCAACACATGGTTGCCTAATCACAGTCAGGATTAGGGCCCAGGGCACGTCAGGCTCAGGGTTCAGCCAAGAAGTGCCTTCTGGCCAAGATTCCCCGTCTCCGAGGTAAAGGGCTCCCCAACTCAGCTCATCTGCAATGACTCTAAAGCATGGGGCACGGTTCCCTGCAGAGGAACCCATGCCGCGAAGTTAGAGGGGTCTCGAGCGATGGTTTTGTTAGGAGATGTGAGAACAAGATGTCAGAATGTTATTCTTATGTTCTAGCCTGTAGTGGGGTGCTCTATAGCGAGTACAACCCTTCTAGGGTTTGCTATTTGTATCCCCATTTCTGCTAGTTCAACCCTCTTTCTTTCTTCTAACTTTTGACATGCTATCAGAGCAGGTCGATCCCCTTGGATCGATCCTCTGGGTGGGCTCACCACCTCGTTGCTTCCGCTGCAACTGCTACTACTACTCTCTGTGCCGCACGCCCCGTGGCGTGCGGCATTTTTTCTTCCCGCCCTGCGCCCCGAGGTGCACGGCGGTTTTCTGCCCGCCGTGCGCCCCGAGGCGCGCGGCGGTTTTCTGCCCACCGCGCGCTCGGGGCGTGCGGCGGTTTTCTGCCCACCGTGCGCCTCGAGGCGCGCGACGGTTACCTGCTTTGCGCGGCGGTATTCTGCACGCCATGCGCTCGGGACGCGTGGCGGTTTTCTGCCCACCGCGCACCTTGGGCGCACGCGGCGGTTTCGCGTTCCGTCGACCCGCACGCCCGTCCCCGTCGACCTGCGTGCGGCTCCTCGTCGCCCTTCGCGGCGGCCCCGTCAACCCGCGCGCGGCTTCCGGTCGCCCTTCGTGGCGGCCCCGTCGACCCGCGCGCCGCCCCTGGGGACCCGTGCACCCGTCCCCGTCGACCCGCGCGTCACCCTGCGGCCCCCCTCCCCGCACACCTGAGTTCGATTACCGCACATCCGAGTTCGCTTCCCGTAAGCTTGTGCACGCTTCACGCACACCTGAGCTCGCTTACCGCACACTCAGGGTATGGGGGTGACGGGTATGGGGGTGATGGTTGTGGGGGTGTCGTTTGTGCGTGCCGTCCCCTTCTCCTCCTCCTTCGTCTCCCACTGCTGCAGCTGTCGCTGAGGGGGGTGGTTGTGTGGGAGACTCGGGTTTAGGGTTTAAGGGGGGTGCGTGGGAGTGGAGCTAGGAGCGTATCAGCGGGTGTGTGTTGGGGGAGTTGGATAGTTAGGGAAGCTGCATGGAGGTTGCCGTCGTGTCGTCAGCAGCACCTGTCAGTGTGCCTCCTGTTGCCCGAGTGTCTGCAGCTTCAGCCGTCGCCTCCCAACTCCTCTCGCTCTCACTCCTCCTCCTCACTTGCCCGTTGTGACCACCACTAGCTTTGCTCATAATTGTGCACTTGAACTTACTTCTTGAACTTGTGCTCAGAATGTGTGGTGACATTGTGATCCACCCTGAGCTTGTACTGCTTTGCTTGCTCTGCTGATTACACCCCACTTTGGCTATGGGGGTGTGTCAGAATGTTATTCTTATGTTCTAGCCTGTAGTGGGGTGCTCTATAGCGAGTACAACCCTTCTAGGGTTTGCTATTTGTATCCCCATTTCTGCTAGTTCAACCCTCTTTCTTTCTTCTAACTTTTGACACAAGAATGGTGGGGTTAGGTGAAGGGAGGGGGGTACAAGGAGAATGTCGAGACGATTTCTGTACCCCATAAAGCTAGACCCCATACAGCCTAGATACAACTAAGCATATATGTTTTGACACACCCCCATAGACGAAGTGGGGGACAGCTGGAGCAAGCAAGGGTTACAAGATCAGTCAAGAGAAGAAGCAAAGCAAAGCAAAGCTCGAGGTGGATCTCAAGATCACCACGCATTCTGAGCACAAGCAAGGGAACAAGGCCAGTTCACATGCAGAATTTATAAAAGCAATTGCAGTACACTGATCACAACCTAGCAAGGGCAAACATGTAGGTTTAATCATGTATATCAGAGTACAACAAGTGCAAGGCAAGATCAAGAGACAAGCAAGTGAGGCAGAGTGGGCACAAGCTTAAGAGCAGTGTAGAAACGCTGATGATCACTAAACCCAAGGGCCTTCGTGAAGACATCAGCAGTGTTGGCCCGTGTGGCCACGTAAGCAAGACGAAGCTGACCACGCTACTGCAGCTCTCGCGTAAGGAAGTAACGGAGAGCAATATGCTTCGTTCTGTGCTCCAGTCTCTGGTCCTGACACAAGGCAATCATGGCCTTGTTGTCGACATACGGAAGTGGAGGAGAACGAGGCCGGTCACCCAAGTCGGTCAGCAGGTAGGTCAGCCAGCGGAGCTCCTGTGCAGCAATAGGCACAGCGTAGATCTCAGCTTCGCAGCTGGAACTAAATATAGAAGACGAGCGAGTGGACCTCCACGAGACAGAACCAGCGCCGAGGCTGAAGCTGTACCCCTGTGTCGACCTGGGAGTCGTCTGTGTGAGGATCTAGGATCGAGCTCAGAAAAGAGAATGAGAATTGAGTCGAATTGAATGAATCACCTGGGTACAACACGAGGCTATATATAGGCTCGACACAAGGCCCCGTAACCAGGTTTTACGCGAAGGTTCCCCGGGCCGCGTAGCGACCCGAACAGATCCTTACCGAATTCGGTAGAAGGCAATTCGGTGGCAACCGAAAAGCCAGAATTCGGAGCACGCAACCTAGCTCGGTGCTATAACTATAATAAAATATAGGAAAGCACCTAGCCTAGGAAATCAAGCAATTCATGCATGCATATAATCATCCTATGCTAGAAATAGCATAATAAAGTAAAGGCAAGCAAGCATAGCTGGCATAAGCCGTCGTACTCTCACACGTCCCCCCCTCAAAGCTGGGTGGCGTGAGATACACCCTGCTTGACAAGATATTCCTTGAGAGCACGGCGTGCGTTGCCCATATCAGCTTATGCAACCCAATTGTCCTCAGTGGGGTCGTATCCCTTCCAGCGTATCAGGAACTCGAGGGTCTTGCCGCCGCGGCGCCGATGAGTGAGAACGCGCTCCACTTCGTACTCTGGCTCATCCTGTACGAGAACCGGTGGTGGTGGCGGTAGCTGCCGTCCCTCGAACTGTTGGTTGGGGTCCTTGTAGGGCTTCAGTAGC